TATTATTACTTTTTTACTGTTAAAATAGACAAAATTAATGACTAGATAAAATCTTAAATGTTACATAACCTTTTGACAGTCAATTCTATGGAAACTATTTGGGCTGTTGATTACTTTAATAATTTTGATATCTAAGTTATATAATCAATGAATTGCAATAGAAAAAATATAAATGAAGATTTATTCTCTTGTTTGTAGTAGTTTACGTTTTTTTCTTAAAATTTCGTTGAAATCATACATTATTTTGATAAATGAAAAGTTGCTCTATTCAGTTACAAACGGTCATTAAACACTTATTACTGTTTCTAAGACAAAAAATGAAAGAAATCATAGTGATTTTTAATAATATTTAATATAAATATGTACGATATACTAATAAAGTGGAATACATATTGTAATTTCAACAGTTGAGACCATGAGTCAGTTGAAGCTAGACCACCATGGAAAACCTGAAAGCAATGGACGACCGTTTTGTTCTGTTGTGTGACTTCTCAGCAGTGCGCATCCACGACCCCGCCTTGCGGGATCCGAACACAGGACCTATCAGTCTCGAGCCAGGCGTTTAACCAACTAGACCACTGAGCCGGCATCCAACGGTGTTAATGTCTTACTTCAACTAATCCACGAAATCGAGCGACACATCCACCATTGTCATCAGTGCGTTACTACCTCACAACTGACCTGGTTGAACTCTACTGGTCACTGCTTCACACTAGAACTCCAGGAAATGCCTCTTGAAGCCAGTCACTAATGAGCGTATGTTGATCAGTATTAGAATGGGTTTTGTGGAAGTTGTAGTAATTTCAACAGTTGAGATCATGAGTCAACTGAAGCTAGACCACCATGGAGACTGATAGGTCCTGGGTTAGAATCACGCGGGGCGGGTTCGTGGATACGCATTGCTGAGAAGTCCCACAATAGGACGAAACGACCGTCCAGTGCTTCCAGGTCTGCCATGGTGGTCTAGCTTCAATTGACTCATGATCTCAACTGTTGAAATTACTACAATCTCCACAAAACCCTTTTCTGATACTAATACATATTGTATTGAGTGAAAATTTCAACTATTCGGTTAACTTTGAAGCAACCAGATCAAAAGATTTATATATTTACTCCTCAGGAAACAAATTAACTATAAAATATTCAGGTCCCTGATACTATAGTAATTTAATAACTAAAGGAACTTTCTACAGTAGAGGTTTCTTAAAAGGCTCTTTTCTCATACGTCTCTATGATAAACATTGATTCAAAAGAAGAATTATATAAATAATGGTATAGATAACATAGTGAGAAGCTTTTCAAAAGTTTAGACAGAAACTAATTCTTAGAAGTTGAATTCATGCATTACAATAATGAATAGAATTGACTGTTTCCCAAATGTGAATATTAAGATGAACGTATAGGTTCCTTTAACTGAAGTTTTATGAAATCCCGATAACAAAATAAAGTGATAATGTAGTGATAGAGAAAAAAGGTGAGGACAGCAGAATTATATTTAGCATAAGTAAAATAAAAAAGCCATACTCTAATACGTCATTTGCATAACATTCATTAATTGTCTTAGACTTCATTGTTCCTGCATTTCCATACCAATTGCTATCTAGTCCCATTCTTCCCTTCTTGATTTTCTCAATCTTCTGCTACCAGACATTATATTCCTGACTCGCGTTATCTACTACTTATGTCAATATAAGTATCACACACCACAATAAGTTTATGAATAGTTTAGCTTCACTTACCATATTACGTAAAGAAACTGTTAATACACATTTTAACCATCATTAAAATGAATTAAATAAATTATTAAGAGAAATGTATATATTATGGATGCATCTGCAGTTCAGAGTGGATGTTCATTCCGGGACTCTGGGATGCAGGCACATCCAACAGACGAGTCTCAAATAGGACAAAACGCGCGTCCTTGATTTCACTACTAGCCACTATCCATCTTTGCTTTAGAAGGCGATTATGATTGAATACGGTATTCTGAAGCACAAATTAATAAGATGTTTAAATAATGAATGTCTTTTTTTAGTTCTTAATGAATAAATTATTAGAATGAGTTTTGTGGAGATTTTAGTAAATTTCACAAGTTGAAATCATGAGTCAGTTGAAGCTAGACCACTATTGAAAACCTGGAAGCACTGGACGGCCGTTTCGTCCTAGTATGGGACTCCTCAGCAGTACGCATCCACGATCCCGCACCACGCGGGGCTCGAACCCAGGACCTGCTGGCTTCGCGCGCGAGCACTTAACCATTAGACCACTGAGCCGGCATCCAACGGTGTTAATGTCTAACTTCAACCAATCCACGAAGTTGCGCCATCCAACACCAATGTCTTCAGTGAGCTGATATCTCACAACAGACCTGGTTGAACTCCACTAGTGACTGACTTCAGGAGAACCTTCTGGAGTTCTAGTGAGAAGCCGTCACCAGTGGAGTTCAACCAGGGGGGCGGGTTCGTGGATGCGCACTGCTGAGGAGTCCCATACTAGGACGAAACGGCCGTCCAGTGCTTCCAGGTTTTCAATAGTGGTCTAGCTTCAACTGACTCATGATTTCAACTTGTGGAATAAATTATTGTATTTGTCCGGAAGACTGGCCTTGATAGATCTTCAAACAGATTCTCAACCACTTACAAATAAATATGGTTGAACCATGCATGTAGTGAGAATAGTTACTGATTGATTATAATTCTACTATTACATCATAAATGCCTAATACTTAAACCGTAAAAGCTCATAGCCTAGTGATACTATCACATTTACATCAAGTCCAGAACACAATCTAACAGATACAAATCAAACTAATATTTCGCTTTATACATTATAAATTAATTTCACAACAAGTATGCTTAAAATAAAACTCACGAAGATTCAACATCTTGACAAAACAATATTTTTCCTTCAGTGATTTTGATTGGTTTACCTACATTTGTGATATTTTTTTTCTATTATTTCATCATTATTGCTACAAGAAATAAAGATGTCCGTAAAATTTGTTCTCCTGATTAATTTATTTTAATGAATATAAACCGGTAGAAAGATGTAGCAGATTAATATATTACTGTTAGTAACAATAATTAGGATACACTAGCCAATATGTAAAATTGCTTGTCAAAAATGTGTTCTAACAGATGATTTATGTTCATAACCTTTCTTATATATTTCGTAGATGTTTTTTTCCGCATTTTTGCTTAACTTTACCTTTTTTTTCTAAGGTACATATAATTTACAACTATAACTATTGTGCTATTGTTTTGTTTTTTGTATTTTAAAGTTTTCTGAATCTAATTTCCTGTAAGATTAGTATTCTGTCTTAATTTCTTATGAATTTTATTAAAGTGTATTTTGATAACAACTGCTTTTATTACAACAGTTTGACGAACTATTTCTATGGAATCTTTAATGGAAATTCTATCCAATGTTTACGTTGTTTGATCATAGGTGTCTTTGAAACATTTCTCGTGTATCCTAGGACCACCGAGTAAGTAATGCAGTTGTTAGGAAACGGGTACTAGGTAAGGATAACAAATCAATTAATGAAGTAGTGGAACTTCATCAGTTGAGATGGCTGGGACATGAGTTATGTATGCCCAACCACTGACTGCACCGACTTGAGACATTTCATGGTGTAGAAATAGCTTGGAAAAAAGCTAGGGGCGGCCAGACCAAAGCATGGCACAAATTCATGAAGTCACTGACAAGTGGACTGAGCCACGTTGGTAGGTGTAGACTAACTGGTAAGGGTCCACGACACTATAGCAACCAATGGTTAGAAACGTTGAATGACATGGCTCAAAATCGTTTGCAATGGCTCAGGTGCATCCACTCTTTGTGTTCTCCCGAATTGTAACCTTCTGAATTCTCCTTGTCTCTTTTTTTCTTTCCAAATTTATTTCACTGGATTATACTCCTTGCATAACATCTTCAAACCCTAATCTTTCTGATCACTGCTTATACTTTTACTGCCTCTACCACTATGGGATTTGAATCAGCAATTACATCTCTGTGCTAATTTGGTGTGGCAGCTCGAACTGATATGCGTACGTATAAAGCTCTACGTCGTTGCTGATTGAACTGACTTCTTTAATCAAACGTGTTAGTGTTGAACTTGTGATGCCTGAAGTTTATATGAAGTGATTCAAGTTAGATTGTAAAGTTATATCTTAAATCAATCGATAGTTTTGACAGTCAAGTCTTTTCATGGGAATATGTTTCTATAATATTGTAGTAAACGAATACCTAGGTGGGGACAAACAACTTATCGTTTATCATAAAGTTACAGAAATTTTCGTAAAATATAAGAACTATACATTGAGTGCTTCATTTGTAAATCTTTCATCAATTATCCTTTACATTCTGTCTGATTCTTCCAATTCACAATTCTTTCCTTTTCATTTTCCTGTTTTCTTCTTAGCCTTCTTCTGTCAACCGTTCAACTTTTGACTGGTGTAACATACTACTTATGTCTGTCAATATAAGTAGCATACACCTCAACTATTTGATTTAGCTTATCCAAACATTTATCCACATTTCACAGAGCTAATCAGTTTAATTCTGTGAATTATCTAGATGATAGGAAATAACTTGTGTAAATCACGATAAAAAAGCATCTTCATCTACTGATTGCGCTGTAATATGAAATGATATATTGAATTGATGCGAAACTATTTCTGAAGTCGCCACGTACAAAATATCATAGGCTATTCTGAAGGTTTTAAAGCTAATACCTAAACAGAAATTTAATTTCAAATATTATTCACTTTAAAGAGTAGTCTTTCCTCTCATCTTTATTCGAATGATGTAACTAAAGATATTGTTGTACACTGAAGTTTCATTCTATTGTTACTTATTATCAGTAAAGCTAACAAATCAACAAAAGAATAAATAACTAATACCTATTATTTAGGATAAAGTAAGTACCGAAATGGTTTTAAAATAATATTAATTTATAACAAGGTATTAAATTTTTATATTTGTCCCATTTTATTATGTAGCTGATTCCATCATAACTCAAGATGTCGAAGAAGGAATTTTGGTTCGAATTTTATGCAATGTAAGTAGTGATGAGAAACCTGATGGTGCTGGTCCATTTCGATACGAATGGCGTAATCCAAATGGTACATTAGTTGGAACTCAATGGAAATTAGAATTGGGCCACATCAAAGTACATGAATCAGGCATATATGTCTGCCGTGTTTCATACGAATTTGACAAAAGACAAATGTCCACCAGTTCAGCAACAAAAATAAATGTTATTCCACGTAAGTTTTTCTTCATCTACTATTCTCCATAAATCTAATGTAGTAACATCAATTTAATATTTAGATTTCGCCTCTTTATCTTTTGCTATTATAAAAGTACGTTTATTATTGTTTGGATTCGGTTCATTGACTCAGTATCTCGACCCAGCTATAGCATCTGAGCTAATTATTTGTCTCCTGATCGCAACAATAAACTAATATCAACATATCTCATAGCACAGACAAATTACGTATAACCCAAAAGAACTGAGAAATTTGTGGCATACCTTCCAAAAACTATAAGTTTATCAACCTTTTTAACCATGCCATAACCTACGTATGTCTCTTGTGAACAAATAAAACTAGTTTTTAACTTTATTTCAATAAATATTTAGATAATACACATTCTCTACAACGTCGTATTTGTGTTATTCTCAAAGTAGACTTCAGCATTATGAAAAGCCTATCAGAACTAGATAGAATTAATTATGTATTGTGATGTTAAATGTATTAAGTGACATTCAACTTAATATACTTAGTAGTTACCATAAGATAAAATATTTGTTCAGAATCAGTTATAGTTTCAGTTTGGAAAGGACAGGAGGCTTGATGACATATGTTACTCCTGATAATGATGGTCTCTCAATTGATCCAACTTTCTTTTGAAAGAGTTGTCGGATGGAGTCTCAACCACGTGCTGAAGTAATGAATTCCACTCGTTGATAATTCGATGGGAAAGTCGATAGTCAGCTAACAAATAATTTGTTCTGGGCTTGTGACCTTTTATGGAGTGTTCTCGTAAATTCTCTGTTTTGGAAGACAATAAAAATGAGGGCATATCAGATGCAAATTTATCATTAAGCAATTTGAAAACTGTAATTAAGTCGCCTCTAGTTCTTCGATATGACAACGGGAATAGTTTTAGCTTGGCCAGTCGAGTATCGTACGGGAGCTTCGCTATTCCGAGAATCAGCTTAGTTGCTGTTCTCTCAACATTTTCCAAAAGCTTACCGTCTTTTTTAAGCAGGGATTAGCCGCTTGTATGCAGTACTCAAGTTTAGTACCCATGAACACTGTATACAAAGTCAAAAAAGTTTTAGCGTTCTACATATTGACCAGAGGGTTCTTAAGCCTGTGGCGGCTATCGCACGGCAGTATGCAGTAGTCTTTTAGTCTTGGCTAACGATGACTCCGAAGTCATTGTACGTCTGGACAACAGGTAGCTTAGTATTATTCATCATGTATGTATTTGTACCTTGATGACCAATATGCATCACAATACACTTGAAAGTATTTATAGGCAACTACCAGGTTTGAGACCTTTCAGATAATTTCTTCCGGTCATTTTGGAGTTCTAAGCTATCACCCTTACATTGTATCGTTCCACAAATCTTGACACCATCAGCAGATAGCGAGACTGATGATGATAGAAGACGAGGAAGGTCATTTACATACAAAAGGAATAACAGTGGCCCCAAAACAGTACCCTGAGGCACTTCATTAAGCACAGTTCCCCAGCTAGACAACTTTGAGTCCACCCGTACTTTTTGTTGCGCCCAACTAGGAAGTCTTTTATCCACATCAATAGATTGCATCCAACCCCGACATTTTTTCTAACTTATATAACAGCCGGTTGTGCACAACTTTGTCAAAGGCTTTGCTGAAGTCATTGTAGGTTACGTCTTTAGGTACTTTTTGGTCTTTAGGAGCGCACCAGCTTTCACGAGCCACTAATAAGTGAATGAGACAGGAATAACCTAATGTAAAAACATGCTGCTTTCCTGAAGTACTTGTATGTAATTATATTTTTAACAAATATTCAGTAATGTCTATTCATTCTATATTAAAGATTCCCATTGTGAAAATTAGAACAACACATATAAGCGAACAATTGTTTTCAGTTAGATCGTCATCATGCTTTACTCTAATATACATGAATATTTATACGAAAATGTTAAACCAATCAAGGCAATATGGGTTAATAATCACAATGAAATAGAATAAGTCTCTACACCTAATTGGTAAAAGTACAAGTTGATAGTAGGAAGACAGGTGAACTGATAATAGTAAGAATAATAAAATACAATAAAAAAACTCTTATCAATTGTTGAACGTTGGCAATAGAAGGTCAAACAAACGTGGGTAAATAGACTAGGAATAGTAATCACAAAACATTAAAATCATTACATAATAAGATTCTGTGATGTGCAAGAACAGGTCAGAGGTTGTTTGGTGTTAGAATCAAGGAAACAATGGGGATGGGTGGTACAATATTTGAGTGGAGTTCAGAGAGAGAGAAAGATAATATAAATTGTGTGACAAATTTTAGAGGTAATGAAGGGTTTGCATAAGGTCCATGGAATTAAAAAACTGATAAGATGGGTTACGTAACTGAATAGAATTTGACGAGTTCACATAATTTAAGAGAATCAAGTGAGTGGAAATGTATGAGTGAAGGGGTGGTTTAAGAATTCAGTAATGGAAGAGGAATATAATACAAACTGAACATCAACGAAATAAAACTAATGGCCAAAAAAGAAAAACAGTGGATTACCAGGGTAGTAATAAGTGTATTACTGTTTCCTTTTGAATACATAGATCCGGTTTGAGTTTTTTTATTGCGATCGCTTCAGCTGTATAGTGAACAAAATCATTTCTAATGAATAAAGAATGACAGTGGAAATATTACAACGAAAATAATTTGATAGTTGAATACTGTCTTTAAATTTTCAATCGTGACATAATCTTCCAAACTACCCTCTTTTAACTGAGAATCAAAGGTATTGTAATGAACGAGAACATAAGTGGGGACAACAAAATGTACCTTAATCCGAAATTACAGAGATTTTCTATAAAATGTAAAAATCATACGTTCAGTACTTCATTTGCAAATCCTTCATTAAGTGTATTAAAACTTCATCATTCTTTCACTGTTATAACAATTACTCTCTTTTTCCGTTCTCTTTGATCACATCTTCCAAATCTCCTGCTGCTAGGCATTCCACTTCTGACTAATGTTGTATACTACATATATCGACATAAGTAGCATACACCACAGTATTACTACAAAGTTATATAAAATTAAATTGTTGATCGTATGGTTTGTTACTGTTTTATACTTGATATTAATATTACTAATCAAAGTCATCTTGTTTATTTACATAACAAGCAGACGGAAGAATATGGATTTAACAATAATGAGGATTTAACTGGAACTGAAAACTTTTATTCTGTGCCTAGTTTCTACCAGATAATGAAAAGTGACTGATAGTTTAGTCGTAAATCTCATGTAATACATAGAAAAACCTACAATAGATAATAACAGTGGTTTATGGAGTGAAATGTATTATCCTAGTAAATAACGAACTCAGGGTAAAAGGAATGTTAATGTCTTTGAGATTTCTTTGCTTTTGATAAAGACTATACACATTTCCATTGCTGTTTAGTTTCTGAAAACGTTTTTCAAAGAAGCTAAGCATTCTTAACTTATAAAATGTTTGATACAGTATAAGTAATGAAATTTCCTCATTCACTTTGTATTCAGACCAAACTACGGCCGAACTAGTGTACTTAAATCTTAGAAAGTAGATCACCTTGTAAACCCAGTATAAGGTGATACAATGACTCTTTATTCTTGAGATTGAAATAAATGATTTGATAAACAAGCTATACGTCTGATAGTCACCACAAAGAGTTGTGTATCTGAGTTCTGTGGAATTCATGGTATTATATGATTGATATACAGTTTGTTTGCTAGAAACATTCACTATGACATTCGATTGACCAACTATGTGGTTACATTGCATCTAAAAAACAACCTCAGAGGTCAATTTACATAAAATTTAATATGAATGCCAAAACTAAGAGAAACCTGGAACTGTCCCGCCCCTTTAAAACTAAGTAATGTAGTAATCAGAAACAATGATAATATCCCTGTTCAATCTGTTGGTTGCAATAGTTGATACTCGTAGAGTAAAAAAAATTCATAACACTTTCAATAGAAAATTTTATGATCTCATCATTCTGTACCAACTTTTATATTCACCCGGGTATAATATATTATTATTACTAAGTTCATTACTAAAATGCTCACTTTCCCGATATTTATACGTCAACTGATTGAAGTTAATATGTTTCTTAGTCTAAATACTTTCTGTGTGCAAGACTTACCACTTTTAAGTTTGAGTTAGAACCATTTAGATATAATGGCGGTAATTTTTTTTGACGAGTGTTAATGGAAATAATAAAACACAATATGACGTACTTAAAAATTGTTATTCCTTATGATTTCGTACTGATCTAAACGATAACACTTCCTGTTGGGTGCTATGATCTATTTGGATTCAAATAATAGATTGTTGATCAGCTGGTTTATTTCCTCACGTGGACATTTGTGGTTATTAATGGATCAGCTTGTAATGTCGGTTACTATGTTAAGCCCATATAGCTTATTCTAGCTTCTGGACAGGCCAATTTATCCATTCATCTTGAGTCACGTTTTGACCTTGTTAATTATTCACTTATTAACCCTGACTGTTTTTATTTGAGTGTATGTGTGTGTGTACAACTTATGCAATTCATTACATGTTTGTAACTTATTTTTGTTTGACTATAAATTCGATTAACTCTTGGTTAAATGGGGTTGACTCACATGTCTTCTCCACCGCGCATCATTTCGCTCCGCTCTCTTCTCTTTGCTGTCTTCGCTTCGTTTCTTCGTTCGTTTGTCTCGATCAAAAATTGTACGAAATATACGTATTACAAAAGTCCATTCTCGTATTTGACTTATTTAATTCCGTTATTCACTAACGTGGATTAAGTCGATAAATATATACGAGAGTAGTCAGGATGTATATTTCGACAGCAATCATTTATACAATGTAATTGGAGTCAGATAAAGTGTCACAAAAAGCTGTACTCTGATATTTTTCACAGTATATGGATTATGATGAAAGTTAGATGTTATTGAGATCACTAGCCAACCTAAGTGAAACAGTCAATGTCGTCTTCACTAGTCTACAAATTCAGGATCAAATTATTTAGTAGACGCTTCGAACAAAACGTTCAAATTGCCATAGGGAAACAGGTGGAAAAATTCCGTTTTAATAAAAGCAGTAATGAAAGATAGTTTAAATGCTTCTTATGGTATTTCTTAGGTTTATTTTTCTGAGGGATTTTCATAAATGTTTTTAAATTGTCTATGACATATATAATGTACCAAGCGTCCCCCTATTTCGGTTTATAATTCTCCCACTGACCATTTATTTTCTAACGACAGTATATATATATACATACATATTAATGCTTAAACCTCATCTTTTTTGTATGAAACGGTAACCAACTTTAATGTTTAGTTCGCTATATAGAGAAAAGGCATAAAAACGTAAAATTCTAAATAAGTAAAAAATCGTATTGTAATGAACGAAAACACAGGTGTGGATAACCAAATTTTTTTCTTAACAAAGAATTACAGAATCTATTGGTAAAATCTGAGAACCATGTATCAAATGTTTCATTTGAAAAATTTCATCATTTGTCCTTCACATTCTGTATGATCTATCCGAGTCACAATTTCTTTCTATTCCCGTCTCTGTTTTTCTTGTTCAACTTGATCTTCCTAGCCATCTTTCAGGGTCCTCGCATCTGATTGTTATTACGTACTACTTATATCTGTCAACATAAGTAGCGTACACCACAGTATCAGCAGAAATTTTAAAACTAATCATAGGATAAAAGTAGCTGAAGTAAACGAGATTAGCAGTATAAATTTGTGGAGGACATTGAATTTTACTGACATCACAAATCGGTTTAAGTAAGAAGCTGTGGTCGGTAGAGCTCAATCTTGTCCCACCAGAAACAATGGGAGAAAATCGCGCAATATTATGGAACGATTTATGTTAAACATACAGCATTGAATGCCAACACAGTTGTCTATACGTTGAGCGTTCTCTCGTCGGACCCGAGGTCTTTGTTTCGATTCCTGCGTGCGGAGATGTGTATGCCCACTACTGAAGATTTACATACTAGGAAGAAACGGTCGTCCACCAGTTCCAGGTTTCAGTAGTTGCCAAAATTAATTCAGGTCATGATATCAACAAAATAAGATTAGTCGTTGATTTTGCATAAATATATCACTAACTCATGAATTGGAATAAGAAACTTGTTGAAGAAATGGGATGATCAGTTTAATATTGATATGATTAGGCTTTAAATAATGGACCAAGCAAATAATGTTGAACAAAATAAGGAAGGACAAACATCCAAATCATCTTCATGTCGGTGAATTGATTAATTAATTGATGGTAGTAAAATAACCGTATTAATCAATCCACATATTATAACAAACTGTATTAGTAGACGAATATTATTTCTAAAAAATACGACTTTACTGTGCATAAATGTTTAATGAAAAAGGTCAAACATTTTATTAGAGAATTAATTAGAATTAATGTTCATAACACAATCCAATCAATATATAATGAGAGGTATCATTGAATGTCAAACGGATTATTAACTGAAATATACAGTATTATAAAAATGTATACAGTAACATTTAAACAGTTTCTAAGGGAAAAATGATTCATATAAGTAGCCCTATCATTTGATTAAGATAACAATGCCTTATGATGAAAAATATTGATTCCAGTTAACATATGAATAATGGAAAATAGTTTAGTACAAATCAATGATTTTAATCAGTCAACCACATATAGACTAAATGTATATGGTATCCTCAAGGTATAATCAAGCCCTTATTTTGTATCCAATACCTTAACATATGGATATATGATGATATATTGGGTTATGTATCAGAATCAGTACAGTATTCATTGTAAAAACTGCTAAAGTTATAGCAGTTCATATTTTGGGGTTGATATCATAACAATTAGCACTTTTTTTCCATTTCTGTAGTTATTACCAAAGTTAAAACTTACAGTGTAAACCTTTGGCAATCTGTTATATCTTTAGTTATACGATTATGGTGAAATACGATTGCCAATTAAGATACGCTGAACTAAACACTCAGACAAATGACGCATGAACCTCTACAAGCAGCTTAGGGTTTTTATTGGTCTACTGAGAATAATAGCCACTCTGTTAATCTAGTCGCTTTAGTTCAGAACGCCAATATCAATATTCTCCATACCAATCATATCTTTCAAGCATTCTTGGGATATATACAACTAAAATCAAACCATATCATAACATTAAATAGAAACATTTGTACATAATCATGCCAAAAGTGACTGTGATTTTGAGAAAATGTTACTAATAAATTATGAATATTTCAAGAATGGTAAATCGTATGATAATAATCAATAGATGAAGTAAAAGCCTATAATGAAAGGAATATTAATATACATATAATATAGTTACTTAATAGTCATACAATAAGAATATATATATGATATTTGTTCATAAATAATTACTAGCGCATACCACTCATTTATTCTCGTACCGGATATAACACAATCGTTAATCGGTCGTTCAATATTTATTAAAACATTTTTTGATTGATTAATTATACAATTTAAAAAAAAACTTATCTCATGGGGATAACTGTGCACATAATTAACGCTTTCATACTTTTGAAATTAAACCTTTTCTGTGTATTTTTTTGTTGTGAAATAGTTTGATAGAACTAGTTAAAAAGATTCACTGAATTCAAAGCTGGAAAAGCCTTTTCGTTAAAAGAACATACTAGTGCAGATACTACCCTAAGTACATCACATACACAAGACCAAAATGCTTCTGGCTAATAAGCTGACATACAACTTTTAATAAGGATTGTTATTGTTAAATTTGAATTCAGCACGTGCCCTATTGTTGTTTTAGATACATGAGTTCTAATGTTCTGTCATGGTACGCTCAACTTTGGTATGATCATTCGTATTTTTCAATTTCAGTAATTAAAAGATTTAGAATATTGAAGAATATATCTTTCAAACAATACTGCTCAATATATATATAATTGTTGAATTCATGGGTGATTTAAAGCTAGACCACCATGAAAAACCTGGAAGCACTGGACAGCCGTTTCATCCTAGTATGGGGCTCCTCAGCAGTGCACATCCATGATCCCGCCCCCCGCGAGATTTGAACCTTGCGCAAGAACGCTTAACTTGTAGATCACTGAGTTGAGATCCAATGGTGTTATTGTCTAACTTCAACCAGTCCATGAAATTTCACTACTGTTAACCATTGTCGTGAATGCGCACTGCTGAGGAGTCCCATACTGGGACGAAACGGTCATTCATTACTTCCAGGTTTCTCATTGTGGTCTAGCTTTAATTCACTTATGAATTCAACAATTAAATTGCTAAAATCACCATGAAAAACTGTTTTGATAATATATGAGTAAAGTAATAAAGCTGGATACATGTTAAACAAAAACAATAAACTTATTTGATTTTTTTACCTTAAGTGAAAAGTATAGACATAAAATAGAAGTAGATATCGAAACATAATTTTGTTCATTAATTTCAGATACTTTTATAATCATATTTACTTCCAATATACTACTTGCTTACGGTAATATTGTATAGCTTGTCTAAATCACGTACTTTAGTTTCTCCTGCCAAAGGATTACGGAAATTCTACGACTTGTTGATTTCTTAAATTGTTCACACTAATCTCATGGTCATGACAACTGTAATTAACCGGTAATATTCCATTGCTTTTATGATTTTCTGATGTGGTAAATAATTTGACAAATTTTCGATTTATTTTTTGTAGCCCAGATTTCGATCATAAAATATCTCGTAGATTAGATAAGTTACTTAATGTTGTCATATTCACGATTTGTCGTAAACTTTAAAGGAAGATAATCTTTTTCTAATTCCTTATAAATATTATAAAAATAGAAACGGCAATTGCAAAATTGTTAATCTAAAGAGACTATCAGGGATTTTGATTTAATCGCTCTTGTCTCCTCACTTAATTTTTAATTGAAAAACTACAGTTCAACTTATTTACTTTTCCTCTAGGTTAAGTTATTACCATAGAAAAAAAAGTACTCGAAATAAATCTGTGGTTGTTGACATATACATCGTGTTTAATCTTGATTGATAGCAACCGATGGTTAGAGACCCTGAATGACATGGCTCAAAATTGTTTGCAATGGCGCAAGTGCATACACTTTTTGTGTTCTCTCAAATTCTAATCCTCTGAATTCTTCATCTACCTTATTTTCTTTCCAAATTTATTTCACTGGATTATACTCCTTCAATAACATCTTCAAACCCTAATGTTTCCGATTACTGCTTATGGTTTTACTGCATCTATCACTACGGAATTTGAATCGACAACTGCATCTCTGTGCTAATGTGGTGTGGCAACTCGAACTGGTGTACGTACGTACGAAGTTCTACGTTGTTACTGACTGACTGACTGAATCTTCATTGATTCCACAGATGGTTTGCTTCATTCACTTAAAGTTGTTTAAGAATTTTTGTGAATTTTAGTCATCAGTATTATTTAAAAATCGGATGAACTTTTTTAAAATACACAAATACCTTGAACTGTGTTATTTTGGTCAGATTTTACCAAGCGGACGTTAAAAACGTTTCGTAAACTAACACTTACTAGTATTCCCAGTGCCCATTTGTTTACTGCAGTATCAGTAATATTCTGAAATAGACTACTACTTTATAAGTATCTCAAGTTATTCTGTTTATAAACATATCGAAATATTAGTCTGTAATAATGTCAAATCTTTGGTATTACTTTTATCGAATAGGTGCCGGTGTAATATTTCCAGGAATTCGTGGAAACGTATTAGAAGTTTTAGAAACAGGTGATATTTTGCAAGAATGTCAAGTGGTCAGTGCAAAGCCATCTCAGTATAACTTTCAATGGTTTGGTCCAGATGGTCGTTTAATATCTAATTCCGCATTTCTTCAAAGAGACTATATAACAAGACAACGAGATGAAGGTATTTACCGATGTGTGGCTAGTCCAGTTGAAGAAGGGAGATTACAAGTCGAGAATAGCCTAATTGTAACAACAGCACGTAAGATTGATGATACTGTTTATATTCTCAACGTATAGTTTGTTCAAATATATACAATTATATTTTATGGCGCATAAGAAAGACGTCTTAGTTCTAAAGCAGAAAAGAAAGTTTAGTAAATTGTAAGCAAATTGTATTCGACTTGAAACATTTATTCATTGCTAAGTACGTTGATAAATTTACTGTGGAAATGGAAGATAAGAAAAACCCCAAAAAATGTAGCAAGAGTCGCGTGGTTCAATAAATATTCGGAAACAAAAATGGGTACCGGAAAAGGGAAACTACACTGAATCGCAAGATTTCTCCAAACTCGTGCTTTCAGTAATTTCTAGTTTTTAATGATTTTCTACTTTTGTACTGAGAAATGAAGTTTCTATTAGTAATGAACTAGCTAAGACCTAAATACTTACTATTGCTATCATAATATCATTATTCATCTACAGAAAGGTATTTTGTAGCTGAGGATTCATACTTGATTATTTATTTGATCTAGACTTGTGTTTATCATAGTTATTCGTAATTCATTACAACTGTTAATCAGTGTGCTTTAGATGTATACTTCAAGATCACTATTCGATTTCACTGATAAAATAGGTGAATTTTCAATAATGTATGAAAAGAATTTATTTTTTATAGACTGGTATTCAACAGTAAAACTCTACAGTTCATGATTCTTAACATTTTGTTCTTCTTCAGCACTACGTTTCCAGATTACAACCATAGAGGAGGACTTAAATATTGGAGGTTTTACACATCGCCGTATAGTACCAGTTGATTCATCTAAACCAAATCTTACTACTCGTGAAACTTTTATATACCAGTGGCTAGACACAGAAATGAATCCAATTCTTGATTTGATGGGGCCAGATTTACGTATCAAATTTCAAAGTCCTTCAGATTTTGGACGGTATTCAGTTCGTATTACTGGATTGAATTCTGGCTATCAGAGAGATCTGAGTACTTATATTACTATGGATGGTAAGAATTGGAAAATATATGATCATATGAAGTTGTTTAATCAGTTTTTCATGTACCTAACAGTCAATGATTATAATTCAATTTGATTTAACAGGAATAGTTAAATGAAACACATAATGTAAAACATCGGTAAGCTACATTACCTGTTTAATTTCACGAAGATTTACACGTATTTCTACTTATTATTTTTTTCACTTCATCCAAGTCCACTGTCATGTTCTCCAAAAATACGACAGACAACGGTAACGTTGCTAGTACAATTAACCCCCTCTTGATGAACTCAATATCATCTGTTAGATTTTAATAAAGACATAACAAGCTAAAATGTAGTTCTGAGTATCAAAAACGCGAAAAGAAAACCTTAAAAATTTTAAATGTAATTATTAAAACTATTGAATTTTATTACAGGTCGAAATGGTGAAGTAGAACCAACTTATTCTGTTGTAATTCGAGAAATTTCTGGTCCCCTTTATTTAAATGCACGATTAGAATTGGAGTGTTCTCCAAGACCACCAAATTCAGCTGCTAGAATTAATTGGCTTGGTCCAGATGGAATGGTGGTTTCCGATTCTAGTAATATAGTATTTGAACGTTTCCAACCTCATCATCAAGGTAGATACACATGCCAAATCTTACTACCGAATCAAATTATTTTACGTCAAGTATGTTCACTAAAATTCAATTTCCCTAATAATATTTAAAGATAATTGTTTTAGCAATTTTAAATAACCAAATGTCAGAAACTCAATTTTATGCTTAAAACAGTACGGAATTCCTATCAATTAATCATATTCCGTACTTACCATTACCATCTACCTAATAGCTGAACTGATAAGAAATTTCAAACCCGTTACTCAGAAATTATTTTTCCAATTATAGAATTCAAGCGATAGTCTTGATAACAAAGTAGCAGTATTTGCGACCATCTTACTACCACATCGTGGTGAATAGAGTCACAAGTTATCATGAGTTGAATAAAGTTTGAAAAAATAATTTTATCGAAATAGATATAAAACTATGATATGGATTTAGTTTGAAGAGTTCAGAAGGCTCGTTTAATTTTTAATCTGGAAAGCTATTGAGAGTCAAAAAGACAGTGGCATATTACTTGCTAGACTACTTTGATTGATTACTGGTTTAATAAAAGATATTTAATGTTAGCATTATGAAAAAGGTTGAAATTAATAATGCTTTAGCTGACATTCGTGATTGATTTTCTCTCTCCAATCTATTAGAGTGTAGAATTGGTTGTTTCCGGGACATCAACAGAAATTCCAGAACCTGACAGACTCTATACAATTCGAATTACTCAGTCACCTACATATTTCAGATATAATGATGCTGTACACCTACAATGCATTGTTTCTCCTACACCCCCATTAGTATCATATGAGTGGTTTAAAGATGGCGTGCTTATTGGACGACAAGCAGATATCCATATACAGAGATTTACCCCAGATGATGTTGGTCGGTATCAGTGTGTTGCCCGACTTGACAGTATGGTACTTACCTTTAACAGTACGATATCTATTGACGATGGTACAGGTAAGCCTTAATAAAACTTTATTCAAAAATCCTGGATTTATTTTAGCAGGAATTAAATGTTTCTGCATAGCCACTTGAAAAAGTCTTGAATTCCTCAAAAGTCAGCAATTATTATTACTTAAAATTTCACGTGAAAAAAGAAATTAGTTGTTTCTTACTACAATAATTGTTTAGTTCATTGTTTTATTCATGTTAAGCTATCACCAAACTTAAGTGCTAATCTAATTAATTATATTGATAAGATATATATATTGAAATCAAACACTATGTTGAAATAAAATGGTAGTTGGTGTTAGTCAATAGGAAAACCTAAGTTTCGTGCTACTTGACACTCTTCAGCAAGGTGTACCTGCAATCTTGAAGGAGCTGATACTCCTAGGCGTGTTCGTTCTTATGTCATCCAGCTACATTGTCAGAGACGTTACCAATGAACTATCTGCACTAAGAAGGACCTGACATACATGACATTGATCACAGCTCAGTAATCAATCAATTGTAAACATAAAATACTTTATCATTTGAATGTAATATACTACACAGATGAACATTTTTTTCAATTAACATAAGTGAAAAGTTGGAAATACTATTGAACTCCTTTTGTAAGCAAAGATAGCTAGTGGCTAGCAGTGGAATCCAGAACATGCGTTTCGTCCTATTTGGGACTCGTCAGCTGAATGTACCTGCATTTCAGAGTTTATGTTCACTTTGGGACTCGAACCCAGCACCGTTCACTTCAAACGCCATCGCGTTATCCACTCAACTACTGAGTCCTGATAGCCATTTGCTTCTGTAATGGGTGAGTTTGAATTCACTTGGTAATGTTTGACTTATATGCACAGTATGCACATTGCCAATGACAGACTGATTAATCTCAGTCTTAAACCTCAATGGGAAGATACAAGCCAAACAATACCAATTGAATTTACTATTGAACTCATTATAAAGATGAATGATAATCATAATTATTTATTTAAAACTATAAGGTTTCAATGAACTGAACGAACAACATCCAAGAAATGGTACATTTTTCTAACAAAAAAACTAATTTTTTTTAGCTTGGTGCATGATGATGAATTCTCGATGTTAATTTCTTTGTATCTATCCATAATAATTTTTCCCAGACATTTAAAATAATTTTATGGAGGGTCATTAAATTAAACTAGAAGAAATAAAATTTTTTAAACAGTAATCTTATTTTATTAAAACCTGTAACTAAGTGATCATATCGAGACAATCCGCTCAGATCGTATACATAACAGTAAAGATTAATCAATTGTAGTCCATTGACATCAATAATAGAAAAACTAAAACCCTTACTTACAGCTTTATACCAGATTAACAAGTTAATGACTCTCTGAACTCAGCTGCTCTGAGAAAAATGGGTTAAAGTTTGGACGAAAAAATCAATGGTTTCAAATTTCTTTCTGAACAATAAGATTCGAATTCCATTCAATTAAAGGAGGCTAAAATAAGATGTAATATACAACTTAACATCCACTGTTAGATATGATCAAACATACTGGGTGTTGAACATTTCTTTAAAGATCACAAAATAGGAAAGGAATATATACGATCAAGTGAAACATTGGTTAATTATCTTCGCAGATACAAAGTAGACTACATTACTCCGTCAGCTGAGATTATAAATCAGTATCCATCCGGCAGTTTTTAATATATGTGTAATTGATGTACTCAGTCATTTATATGAAACGTCAAGAGTAATTTTGCTATGATGATAACAATGAAATTTCATGAAACCTAGGCTGTGATCACCAATTGTCACTTCTAATGATTTACTGTATCAGAATGGGTTTTGTGGAGAGTTATAGAAATTTCACAGGTTGAAATCATGAGTCGATTAAAGCTAGACCACCATGGAAAACCTGAAAGCACTGGACGGCCGTTTCGTCCTAGTATGGGACTCCTCAGCAGGTACATACAGCTGACGAGCTACAAATAGGACTAAACGTGCATCCTGGGTTCCATTGCTAGCCATGATCCGTCTCCGTTTATAATTTTTGATAGATAAGGCCCTAAAAAGTGGTTTTGTTTTTTACGCTGTTTCTGTTAAAGAGTTAGTAATAATAGTCTGTTGTGAATAACATTTGGTAGCTTTAGTAGTCTTCTCCTCAAACGGTCAATACAATCGATCAATTTCCATACGTTATGTGATGACTAGGAAGCCATGTGACATTACTTTGTTTTTTTTTTAATAGCCATGTCAGGCCGTCATCTAAAGAAAAACGTTCTACCTTGGTATTTAAGTCTTATAGAGACCCAATTTATGGTTGTTGAGTAATTTATTTTCTAGACAATTGCTCTCACTGGAGTACATAACACATAACGTAGCTATTCAAAAAATGAGAATAAACATTTCTTGATCACTAGTACAAGTGATAATATCTAAATGTATTTCATGCCCTTTCCATTACCCTTATTTTACGATAGTCTTAAGACAATAAATATAAATTTTATTCTGTCACATCAACTTGAGCACTCATAGTTGATACAAGACAAGAGGGTTTTTATCACCTCGGAAGTCATTGTTAACAAATATTGATCTATATTTGGAATAATTAAGTTTTCATCAACAAAATATTTACAATTAGCCGATAGTTTTTTTTAAAGAAACCCATAGTCACCTCACATTTATTTCTATAATAAGCCACTTCAACCAGCAGCTCCCAACTTTCACATCTTCAGTGACAACAAGACATTTCATGTTGGTAACTTTATGGAACAGCTCTTGAATTAATTTAAATAACACATTAAGTTCCAAACGAATTTATTTAACTAAGGGAATGTTTTCGATGATTTTATATTCGAAACTATATGATCATATATATGTGATAAATTATAGGTCAATGATTAAGTGAATAAAGTTTAGGATTTAGTTTGTCTCTATGTGCATCTTGACTACATAATTTTAAATAAAGAAGTGACCATTAAAGGATATGATTTATCGAACCTGAAAAATGTTCAATCGATATGTTGAACACAGTCATTATAATTTTTGTCAAGTTGTAAATGATAGACGTGTGTGAATAACAATCATGAATTGTGATTAGAATCAACGTTTTTAGTAATAATGATAAAACTATGGAACATAGAACCATGCTTACAAATGTAGGACTGAAAAAGTGACAAACAAAACCAGCAGAGAAATCAGGTAAAAATCTGTCCTCGCTTACGTTTATACTCATCTCATTCATCTACTATGATGATAACCACGTTTCAAGATCAAGTACTTTATAATATTTAATGAAATCATCTAAGGTTATAAGGAATATTTTTAGCTTAGAATGAGGGTGCTGTAAGTACTGTGTTATCTGAGACAAATTGTATTAACAAACAGTTTAGACTTCAACGAAATCACCTAAATTCCTGTTAGTAAATATTTATGTGGTCTTTAGAAGTAAATCATAACAATGGATTATATTTAAAATTAAGCAAGTAACGACCACTAGTGTGTAGTTGATTAAAATACTCATTTCCATCATTGCTAGTAATACATCGCTCTCTTTCAAATCTTGATTTAAGAATAAGTTCACATGTTTCGTTAATCCAATCAGCAGCATATTTGCTCAGTATTGCTTACATATTTTATCGATCGATGTATAATTGTTGTTTTAAATAAGGGAATTTGAAGATATCGTTTCATGAGATTATTACTTTGACTTAATACTTTTAAGTAATTGTGATATATTCTAAGTCTTGTTAACATTTTTATAGGGATATTCATTGTATTTCCATGATTATCTTGTTTCAACATTATATGTATATATATTTATCACAGAAGTCATATTGAGAACAAGAAGTATACAACACTTTACTAAACTTATTAGTCGTTATGGACATAAAATATGCATATATCCCGTGGTATCCACAGTTACATTTATTATAATCATGAATTGAATTTCATTAAGAAACGATATCATAATGTTTAAAAACTCTTTCAAATTTCAAGCAATATATTTTTTTATATCAATCAGTGTTACTGTCCAATAATAAACGGATTTATGAAATACAAACAACTCAGTTCATGTCAAATCAACATAAAAGACTATCATTCTAAGGAGTAGCTTATAAAAAGTTTAACCTTTTAAAAAACACACAACTAAATTCATTATTTCTATATTCTACAAAGAAGATAAGTAAAAATTAGCTCATGCACATTTAAGTTTATAAACATCAAATATTCCAAAACATGTCACTCTTTTTTTTTCAATCATAAACAAGTCATTCGGTCATCGGAAACATTGAGATTATTGCGGTAATATAATACAGTATATGTACAGTCATAAGATTGCATATAACATAACAGTCATAAGTTTACCAAATTTGTATGACTTACAAAAGTGATTCAATAGAAACTATGTGAAAAGAAAATTAATATCATTATCCTGTCATGAAATTTTAGTTTACATTTATAATAATAACGAATGATTACAAAGCAATAATCTAGAAAAGCATCATTTTGAAATTTAGATGTGAACCAATGATTTACGAAAGGTGTTCAATGTAGAAACGTTAAAATAAATGTTAAATTTTAATAGTTGAGATCATGAGTCAATTGAAACTAGATCACCATGGAAGACCTGGAAGCACTGGACGGTCGTTTCGCCCTAGTATGGGACTCCTCAGCAGTGTGCATCCATCTTAAATTGTTAGAAATTCTCAAGACAAATTAATGAAATTAAAATGTAATTGATAAATTCATCCCTAAATGATGATTATATCGGAATGATTTAGTTTACATTAAAATGTATATAAAACGGTAACACTTATTATCAGTCATTTTCTAGTTCTATTTACTTTGCTTATTATTTAATGAGATTCAGTATATAATGACCTACATTATACAACGCTTTTATTTGTACTTCCGGACAAAACTATCAAAGCATTTTTGACACGTATTCCCATCATTTTGAATTAGAATGAGGAAAAAAACTCCTTGAGTTTTAAGGATATCATTTTCTGGCAATAAAACAGTTAATTCCATTTTCTTATTCCTCGATCTATAACATATCCAATATTCAATGAAGAAATCAGTATATCTATTTGCATTATAATAGATGATACAATCAGAAAGGAATCAACAATTTCGAATGAAAACAAAATACGCAACACAAACGTTGATTATCTACATTTTAGATGTTGAACGCGATATTTCTTTTAAGAGAATGTTTCATATACTCACTTATCAGTTATATCATTACTCCTATCTAAACTGAACCTTATAATAAAATTACATAAGATTATGCTCTATCATATTAATCACATCTTCAGTTAGATTATTTATATTTTACTCAAAAAATTTTTTTCCTTTGTTTAATTATTTTCAATTAGGAGTGGATTTAATAATGCGACCTAATATCATATATATCCCAGCATTTCATCCATTTGAAATTGAATGTTTATCTATACGTACCGGTTTATCACCTATTGCCATATTTGGTAATGGTGCACCTATTGAATCAGATAATCGATTTACAATTATAAAACCAAATGAACAACGATTAATTATAAAAGCTACAGATGGTTTATCAAGTGTTTATAATGGTTTACGTATTCGGTAAGTGAAAATTAAAAAAAAATTATTACAATCGATAAATTCTTCCTAATATATAAATAAAATCAGAAGGGGTTTGTGGAGATGTTAGAAATTCAACTGGTTGAAATCATGAGTCAATTGAAGCTAGACCACCATGGAAAACCTGGAAGCACTGGATGGCCCGTATTGTCCTAGTATGGGACTCCTCAGCAGTCCTCATCCACGATACCGCACTGCGCAAGATTCGAACCCAGGAACCATCGGTCTCACGACAGGCGCCTAACCAACTAGACCACTGAGACAGTATCCAACGGTGTTAATGTCTAACTTCAACCAATACACGAAATTGTGCCACCGTACACCATTGTCTTCAGTCAGTTTATATCTCACAACAGACCTGGTTGAACACTGTTGGATGCCGGCTCAGTGGTCTAGTTGGTTAAGCGCCTGGCGCGAGACTGATGGGTCCTGTGTTCAAATCTAGCGGGGTGCAGGATCGTAGACGCGCACTGCCGAGGAGTCTCATACTAGGGCGAACCGTGCCATCCAGTGCTTCCAGGTTTTCCATGATGGCCTAGCTTCAATTGACTCGTGATTTTAATCCGTGAGATATAAATAAAAATGTTGAAAAACAAATGAGATTTCGTTCAATGTTCAAAGAATATAGTATAGTCTCATAAATATCATTAAATTATGAAATAATGGTTATATAACATAAAATTACTTGATTAAAACAACAAAGAAATATTTATATGAATATTCATCAATATTAAAATGAATAGTTTGACGAAAATTAGGCATTGAGTATACAGAAAACATTCTATGTGAAAATTTTATTTGAAATAATTTAAGCAATTGAAATTTAAAATAATTTCAACGTTTCGTCCATCAAACTTGTATGAACTTCTTCAGGGTAATCATCAAAATCAAAATCACCAAAGAAATATATAGCGTTTAAAAATTAAATCAAATCAAATCTACACTGTGCTAATCAAATCATATTTGAATGTTGATTTTTAGTGAATAGGATAACATGAGTAAGTTAAATGCGAAACATGTGAAAAGTTCACGATGTGAAAATAAATGACTGAAAGGAATTGTGTATGTGTAAGATTGAGTTATTAATGAATGATATTCCGTGTTGATATTCTGTTATATGAAGGAAAACTTAAAGTGTAAATTGAAGGTTGAAAAAAATTGTTTCTGAATCATTGATGTGCAAGGAAAGATGAGAATCATCAGCTTGATAATAAATTCGTTGAAAAGAGATCCTTTCACTGAACTTCGTGTTTTTTAATTGTTATTCTTTAAATGGGAATTATCTGTCATCAAAACATAATTGTATTGCTAAAAATAAATCAGATTAATTTCGGGGACCAAAATACTTGAGAAAGACCTTAACACTCACAAAGAAAGATTGACAGCAAAACTCCTGTATATATAGGCGAATAAGAACAGGCTGAACCGATAGGATGGTCCTCAACTAACGATTATCTGGCAACTATTCGTTGACCCTATCTTTATTCAATCTGTTTATTTTACATGCATTGTTATTTTGACTGAAATTAATGTGAGGTATTTTTAGCAATACAATTATGTAATTGATGATTCTCATCTTTACTTGCACTTCAATGATTCAGAAACAATTTTTTTCAACCTTCAATTTACACTTTAAGTTTTCCTTCATATAACAGCATATCAACACGGAATATCATTCATTAATAACTCAATCTTACACATACACAATTCCTTTCAGTCATTTATTTTCACATCGTGAACTTTTCACATGTTTCGCATTTAACTTACTCATGTTATCCTATTCACTAAAAATCAACATTCAAATATGATTTGATTAGCACAGTGTAGATTTGATTTGATTTAATTTTTAAATGCTATATATTTCTTTGGTGATTTTGATTTTGATGATTACCCTGAAGAAGTTCAGACAAGTTTGATGGACGAAACGTTGAAATTATTTTAAATTTCAATTGCTTAAATTATTTCAAATAGAATTTTCACATATAAGAAGGAAAAATTGTTCCAGTAAAACAAATGTCAACTACAAAAAGAAAACGGTTGAGAGAATTACTGAGATTTTTAATTTCACAAATAACAGTTTCAAATTCATTTTGAACATTATTAAATACAAACTAATGAAGATAATATTTTATTGTTATTCTTCTAAGATTTTTAGTATTGTGTAATTATTGTGAATGAGAATATCAATGCGGAGAAACGATAATATTTTAACACAAAATTATAGTTATGTAAATATCATACTTTATTTGCACAATGTTCATTAATGGTCTCAGACTTCGTTATTCCTTCATTTCCATACTCATTACTCTCTGTTCCCATTCTTTCCTCTTATCAATCTTTTACTGACAAGTCTTCTATTTTTGATTGGCGTTATATACTATTTATTTCGATATAAGTAGCACACATCATATAACGATTTAACATCATCGGAAATACAGATCAATAAAATTGTCATCTGTTTTGTTATCTAAACAAGTATTGAAGTTAACTCAGTGAATAAAGGTGTTATTTAAATGAATCATTAAAAAAAATTGATCGTACCAGAGTGATATGGATCCATGGATCCCATATTTTTATTTTATTAATCCAAGTATATATACATATATTTTAGAAGTATGTGAATACATAAGAAGTAGACATTAGTCATTAACATCTATTGAAAACTGAAGTACTTTTTTGATAATTTATTGTTAACATTATCCTTTGTTTAAATATCACAATGTTTATGATATGGGATAAAATGAAATAGTTTCTGAAAACTCTATTAGAATGATATTTATGAATTCAATATAGGATGCTTGAATAAATAACTAATGATAGAAATGTAATTGTACTTTCATTCAATGAAATTATGGTTTATTTAAGTAATGTACATTTATTGATTTATCGCTATTTTGGTGTTAAACTAATCAAATGGTTAATAGATTCTTTTCTTTTCTCTTTTTTTTTCTTTCCTTTTCTTATTATCATAATCTCATCATAAATATAAAGTGTTATATAAATCTTTTATATGCACTTATAAACACAGAGGAAATATCTCTGTACTGATCTCTTTTCGTTAATCAAATATAATGTCTACAAAAATACGAATACTTTCCCCATAGATATTCACCATATTCGCTGTATTGCGTAATCAATAGGTAACAGATTTTCCTATCTTAAAATATCATTTTATTTCATTTGAATTTGTTTACCTACCACAGAATATCAAGACATATGTGTTTCATATATTTCTATTTTGTTTAAACTTGATTATAATTGCGTTTATGATGATGATTGAATAGTGATACAATGATAATATCTAATATAAATTTATTTATAGTATGTTTGTCAATATTTATCAGATTTACAATTTCTTTTATGTGATATATCAGTGTAAGATTATTGATTGAGACCATGAATCGATTGAAGTTAGGCCACCTTTGGAAACCTGGAAGCACTGGACGGCCATTTCGTCCTATTGTGGAACTCCCTAGCAATGCGCATCCACGATCCCGCGAGTGGGATTCGAACCCAGGGCCTTCGGTCTCACGCGCGAACGCCTGACCTACTAGACTACTGAGATGGCATCCAATGATGATCCAAAGGTGGTCTAACATCAATCGGTTCATGATCTCAATCAAAAACCTAATAATCTTCACAACCCCTATAGTAGTAATGTGAGATTAACTGTACAATAGTTATAACTAAACAAACATGCTTATTTAAGTATTTAGGAATTGAAAATCGATGATAGGTATATTTCCTTTCAATGACCTTTGCGTAATGAATCTACTTTAGTATATTCGTATGTATTTTTCAAAATCAGTGATTAAATTAACATTAATCAAATAATATTTGGTAAATAGATGTTATAAGAAATTGAAAATTGCTTATTGAACTAATCTCAAAGTGTGGGATCGTTGATGTGCCGTTCAGTGCTTTCAGGTTTTTAATGGTGGTCTAGCTTAGATCGAGCCGTGAATTCAACTACTGAACTAATACTAAATATTTATGGGAGTAATTCATAGGTGAAGATGATTAGAGTATCTATCATTTTTGAATGTATTATTTGATATTGAAGCCCAAACAAGTTGCCGTCACTTGACGCTGGTAGACAGTGTGAGCAGTTGTTTGAATTTCTTCTGAACAAAAAATTATTTTGTGACCGTAAATAGCGATCGAGTGATTCGTATGAATCATATATATAGTTTTTGAAATTAGCAATAAAATAGTTAGTTAAAAGTGGGAGAAGTGGTGACCACTTCAGTAACTCGATAGGATCCATTGTTAAATTTAAATTGGACGTTAAGAGTGCATTGAAGAAGTAGTTCTTATACATCGTGTGTTGGAGTCAGTCAATCATCTACAACTTTGTATCAGGCACATATATGCATAGGTCCAAGTTCCCATACGTCACTAGCACAAAAAATGAACTCCAAATTCATAGAAGTAGTTACTTGAATGATGATAATATACAAAAAAGGATTGCATATAAGGATATGATACACGAAGAAAGATTTAGTTCATAAAAAGAAGGGAATAAAGTAGCTTTAATTTCACGGTTTAAGGGAAAACGAAGAGTGTATACACCTGCGCCATTGTGATCGATTCTGAGCCATATCATCCAGTCTACAACTACTGATTACGATAATCGCATGGATCCAAACCAAGTAGTCTGCATCTAACAACATGGCTCAGACCAGAAGTTAGTGACTTTGTGAACTGATGCCACGCTATGGTTTGACCGCTTCTAACCTCCTTCCATCCGTCTCCAACACTAGTCACCATTGCGCATCATGGTAATCGGTGTTCAGGTATACGTAGCACGTGGCCCAACCATCTCAGTGGATGATGATTTACAACCTCACTAACTGATTTACCATCATACCCTAATACTCTGAGTCTAATCTCACCATTACTTACCCGGCGATCCCAGCAGATGCAAGCAATATTTCCAAGACAAGTGTAATGAACCATTAGTAACTTACGAGTATTCTTTA